TATAATATTAAGTAGGTTCAAGTAGTCAATTATAAATCACCTAAATTAGTGAGATTTATAATTGTATGTATACGTATTTAATTCTTAATTGAGTCGGTTTTCTTTCATGTACCGAGGTGATTATTTTTAATAATAACCTTGAATATTAATTAGCTAAAAAGATGAAGGAAAACTCAGAAAATCGTCGTTCAAAGCAGACGAAACAGACAAAACTTTGTTGGAAAACCTCCTCAATCAAGAATTAAATAAGATAAACATCGAGAATGTCGGGACTTATGTCAGATAATGCCCTCGGACGCTGCGCGTCCTCGGGTCATTATCTGACATAAGTCCCTCCTTCTCGGTGTTTATCCTATACATAATTTCAATAAAGTTTCCATTATTATTATGTAATATTTAAACAGGAAGCCTAATCAGTGACCTTCACTGTTATCAACTAGAGTCCTGTAGCAGCGATTAATAATACCTGTACATCTACTGTAACCATCACCCGAGTAACCTACAGTACATTGGCACACGTAAGATCTTGGAGTGTTTGAGCATTGCGCGTTTTTATCGCAAATGTCGGGAGAAGTTGTGCACTCATCAATATCTACAATATAGAACAAAATGTAGAAAAAAGTAATTAGATAATAACAGTAGGTATGGTATTTTTAACGATATTCAGAGTAAATCTACACCTTTGCATGTACCTGAACAGTCAAGTTTACCATCACCAGTATAACCTTTCAAACATTCACAGGCATAGCTTCCTCCAATGTTACTGCAGTTTGCATTTATATCACAGATGCCAGGGTTTTGTGCGCATTCATCCACATCTAAAGGATTCTCATTTCAGAAAACATCAAATAACACAAATAACGCCAGAAACTATATTGCCAGTACCCCAAAGGGTGACCGATGGCAAACATTCCTACTCTTCTGATTTTATTGGGGGCTGCAGATTTCTAGGCTTACCTCCCGATCTCTCGTAAACCTCCCGATTTTTTGAGAACGATTGGCTTAACACTAACGTTATCTAGACCAGGGCCGCCGAGAGCTTGGCGGGGGCCCGGGGCAAAAAATTTTTTAGGGGCCCCTATTGCAAAAAAATTTTCCGGAAAATTTTTTTGCAATAG